TCGGAAATTTTCAAGATAAAAATAGCAAAATTCCCACACTTGTATGGGAAAATTTATTCCTAAACACTCGTAGGCATTTTGCCACAAAAGTGTGGGATTTTTCACATACGTATCGGTTTTTCCCTATACACTATTTCGTGTATAGGAAAAATCCTACACATGTGTAGGAAATTTCACGTCCCACACGCGTATGGGATTTTTCCCACACATTTGTATGGCAAAAATCCGAACTTTTTTTACAGTGTAGATGAATATTGTTGAATACACTTAATATTGGTGAATACATTTGAATACGCTGTTGTTGACGCGCATCTCTCTGGACAATAATTTGCATTGTTTCTCAACTTGTCAACACTTTGTGATTCCTGTGGTAAGTTATTGCTTTGCTTTAAGTTTGTTGAAAAATATTTCTTGTTAATGGATTTGAGTTAACGCATCTTATTTATTCCTTGACAGGTTTATTGTTATTTAGCTTTTGGTTTGACTACCGTTTGGGTGTAAGGCAAGGCAAAGATTTGCACTCATCAAGAGACTACAGAGAGGGGACAGGAAGCTCTCTGCCCCGCCGCTGCCGCCTTGCCGCACGTTGCGACATCTAGCCGCCTCAATATTTATCGCATAGACCCCGCATTGCTCTAGAATTGTAGGGGAGGGTCTACCGATGGCCGTGGTACCAAAAGTTGCGTCAAAAGTCTAGCCAGATTTGAACGGCGAGCGCTGGAGTCCGCAGAGCGCCTCGGGAGCCAGGCGCCGCACCGATCAGCCAACGCCTTCTAGCACGACAGATGGCGTTCCGCTACGCCACGCCACCTCAGCGCGAGTCTAGACTTGTGTAGACCAGAGCTATACAAAGTACTAATACGCAGGTTAGTTCTTAGACACAGAGAGTTCATCTCAGAACATGATTATAAAGTGCGGAAATGCGCGCTGAGGTGGCGTGGCGTAGCAGAACGCCGTCTGTCGTGCTAGAAGGCGTTGGCTGATCGGCGCGGCGCCTGGCTCCCGGGGCGCTCTGCGGACTCCAGCGCTCGCCGTTCAAATCTGGCTAGACTTTTGACGCAACTTTTGGTACCACGGCCTTCGGTAGACCCTCCCCTACAATTCTAGACCAATGCGGGGTCTATGCGATAAATATTGAGGCGGCTAGATGTCGCAACGTGCGGCAAGGCGGCATGGCGGGGCAAAGAGCTTCCTGCCCCCTCTCTGTAGTCTCTTGCACTCATTCATCAACCTTTTTAGCCCGCCCTTCTGCTTTTAAAAAAGAATTAAAGCGGGCTTATGCAACCGCTCTCGTGTCCGTCCGTCCGTCCGTCCGTCCGTCCGTCGTCCGTGTAAGAGGAAGGAGATGAGCTAGAGGTCTACAAATTTCAGGGTATCTTAGGGGTCACTCCTAGACAACGAAACGCCTGGTGCAAATCCTGGCAACCACCCCTAAGGGGGTGAAAGATGGTAACAAAGAAATAGGGGTTTGTCTAAAAAGTAGGAAAAAAATATTTTTTTTATGGTCTCCTAAGGGGTAACTCGTAAAAGTAGAGCCCTTTGGGCGAAAATTTTGTCCGTTCGACTCTCTCTTGCACCGTTTGGGTGCTAGAGTGCTTTTTTCGACCGAAATACGGAGAAAATGACTACGTTGCACATAAAGACGTACTAGGAGGCTTCCAATCGTAAAATGAAAGAGGAAGTACCCCCCCACAGTGGTCGGAAACCGGGGAAATGCTGCTAGAAAGGACATTTCTCATTATATAGTCGGAGGTTTTTCTATGAGCGCAATGTCTTCTTTAAAGTCTAAAGAATCGGATTGTCAACAACATATGGCTCAAATATCAGGGAGTTACGTGTAAATCTGATTTAAAATGACCCTCTGGTGAAGCGGGTCCCTGGGGCCCACTTCCTAAATACTCGCTGAAATATTGTTTTATGTTTACATAGTTAAAGGACACTATTTGAAATTCACAAATAATATATTATATTGCTATTCACTATCGTTTGAAGTACTGAATTACCGATCTTCAGTTCAAAAACTGTAATTAAAGTGGTGCGCTGATGCACCTCTTTTTACGGGTTTTCACGTAATGTTATCGTATAGATCGGTAGCGTTACGCAGTAAGAATAAAGTACCATATGAAAGAAGGAACCTTTCTCTAACTGTAACCAAATTTACAAGCTCCCGTTTGCTCCCGAACGCAGACAAGAATTAAAAACGTAAGGGTCTGAAACGCCGTCTGGAGGCCGACTAACCTCACTTTCTCGGCACGGTGCGGTGCAACGTGCGCTATGATTGGCTGCTCGTTTAGAACATGTTTTCTGATTGGTGGTAGAGAATCAGACAAAGAGCGCGGGATTATAAAAGTCGGCTTTAGCTACAATTTTTCAATATTTTGTTTTGAAACAATTTTTAGGGAGAAAATTGATAATTACTATACTAGGAATAAAGGAAAACGATTGTGTACTGGAGGAAAACACTCAAAATAATTGATAGCAGTTTTTTGGTGTTTCCGACCACTGTGCCCCCCAAAACAACACATTCTGAATCAGGAACTACCCTCGGATTTGCCGTATCTTTCACTGTTTCGGCCCTAGAGGTGGATATATTGAAAACAATGGCAAAAAGTCAAGTTTTAGGACTGTTTGACAAACGATACAATGTAAAAACTGCGCTCGTTCTCTTTTTGTATTTTTCTGAAGCAAAGCAGAAGGGTGGGGTGTAGTCACGGTGTTGCCCCGTTACAGTCTTTTGTCATGTGAAAGGAGCAAATCTCTAGGGCCGCAGGCCCCCCACCGGAAATTAGTTTACCCAAATATGCAAAGTGATTTACCGGTCACATTATTTATTTGGTTATGATCTTCAGTAAATCGCGGGACTGAAATGGTCGGGCCGCAGGCCCGACCATCGCTGCCGGCAGGCCAAGCAGGCCCGGCCCCTGCCGAACGGAGTTGCCGGCGCAGCGAAGTGGAGCCGGCAACTGCGTTTGGCGGAAGGGCGGGCCTGCTTGTTTAATATTCATCTCCAAGTTGTCGTAGATGCGTTCTATACTTAATAGTATTCTCAACTATAAGTACTCGACAATGCGCTCCCTCCACACTTATAGATATAGATGCCACAGCTTCTCATCAGTTTGGCTCACCCATATGGTAACGGCCACTGCCGCTCGGGCCATATGCTTGACCGTCTCAGTGCGCTGTAACAAAATAACACACTGTAAAACCTGCTAACTCAAAATGACACGCCGCCGTGTGCGATCGAACTTACCAAGTCAAGTGCCTTGTCGCTTGAGGCGGGGGAAACTGGTGGTGCGAGTGGACCAGGGGTGGTGGGCCGAGGGGTGCTGGCGGCCTCCGGCGCTTCCCATGATTCACGGCTCTGAAAACGCGTTCGTAAAAGAACTATTACTTTCGTGTCATGGCGTTTGTCTACCCCACCCCACCCCTCATGCCCCTTCGACACAGTGCGATGGACCGCGTTGCCAGCATTGCACAAGCAAAGCTGCCACTCCCCTTCCCCCCTCCCTTGCGCTTCGCTCTGCATCTATTTGTAGACCCCGCGCTCATCACAGCGCGGCGTGGCGTAGCGCAGCAGCGGCCTTCTCCAGATTATCCTCCCCCCCTCCCCTGCGCAAGCGTTCCCGTCGTCCCGCCCCTCGATAGAGCGCTCACTCGCTGTGACACACCGCGTTGCCAGCAATGCACAGCAAAGCTGCCACCCTCCCAAACCACGACAAGTTTAAACATGCGAAGGCTTCAAAGATTCTCGTCAAAAGAAAGCCCATCACAAGCCCAGTGGGCCCCTGCCCTCCCCTCCCCTTCACGCAGCGCGGCCGAGCCGACTCCAGGAAAGCTAAAAATACGCCGTTGTCGTGGCGTGGCGTGGCGCGGCACGGCACGGCGCGGCGCAGGGCGGCACAACGCGTCGCTTCTAGTGTATTCCCCGACAGGTTAAAACAAGTGAAGATTCGAGAAGATATTCGTTGAACAAGCCAACACCAAGCGTGCCCCCCTCCCCTCCCCTCCCCTCGCGCACCGTCTCGATTCCTAGAAAGCTAAAAATAAGCCGTTGGCGTAGCGTAGCGATAGGCAACATGCACAAGAGTTTCACACACACACACAGGTGAGAAAGCCATTTCCTACACACACTGGTGAAAAAACGTTTTCACACTGATGAGGACTCACCAGGACCCACATGGGTCATAAAACACGAGCCATTGGGGCTGTTGCGAAGTCGTAAAGGCCACGTACGGGCACTAAAAAATCGACATCCTTACTTCAATCTTTTTACCATGTGCGATTAAAACGCACTTAACATTAAGATTGGAGGAAGGGTGTCACAAAGATTCACGTTTTAAAAACCGTTATCAATCGGATTGCGCAACACTTTCGAAGGACAAGTACTTACGTATTCCCAGAGCACCTCAATTTCATTGGACGAATCAAGGATGTCAATAGTATCGCCTGATACATTCACAACATCAATCTCTTCCACATTAGTATCGCCTGATACAACATCAAGCTCTTCGTCACTGCTTAATTCAACGATCTCAGGCTCCATCTTGAATAAAACTTCACTTTGATACCCACGCAATGATCCGCTCGGCAGAGAGACTCACAAACGACTGAGCGGTCCGCGGGCGCTACGCGCTGCCGTCGAGCGCGGGGAGCGGTGGCGGGGCGGTGGCGGGGCGAGCGCCGTGGTGGGGGTAGAGTCTCGCGGCGGGAAAGGACTCGTCGTCTGGCGCGCTACAGCGTTGCCATGTCAATTGCCGCTTCGCTCGCGGCTCTCCACAAACGTTCTCATACTCACGCGCGCGCGGAAATTCAAAATGTCAGGAGAGGGATTCGAACCCCCGTCCCCCAACAGATAGGACCTGCACTTGAGGCAGGCGCCTTAACCACTCGGCCATCCTGACATCTTGCTAATGTGTGTGTCGCATCACGGTTTTGTGTGACGCTTAGGTTATGTCACCACCCTTGACTTACGTGTCGTGACGTGTCACGCTTAGGTTACGTTACCACCCTTTACTAACGTGTCGTGACGTGTCAGTGATCCTCGTTAGGTTGTATTACCACCCTTGACTTATGCCCTTCCATCGATCCTCGATATTTCAGAGAGGACCACTGATACAACACTTGCAACATCAACATGATCAGAAAATAGTTCCTTCGAATACATTTCAAGAAGTCAGAAAAAGAATTTCAATTGTGGAAAGATGGCGAAGAGGTGAAATCTTTTTCATATTTTCCCTAAAACTCTGGTCAGAAGGGTAAAAAAGTTTATCTATACTGCCAGCATGATGGGTCTGCTAAAGCCCACAGGAGGCAATCAGAGCCTGATAGAAAGACATCTAGGAAGAGGCGTACTGGTCAAATTAAGGCTGGTAATATTTGCATTGAACGGATGATTGTAACCCATTTAGATTCTGGCTCTTTAAAAGTAAAGTACTTTGCCACACACAGCCATCCTCTTAGCCGACACGATTTTGCCCATCACCCACCTACGACAGAAAAAAAAATAAAAAAATCAATAGCAAAATTGCTTTAGGTGTTCCTGCCTTAAAAATTTGGGAAACTGCAATCAACTGATTACAGCAGAGAGAACAGGGCCCATGAAAAATCTCGAAAAATCTAATTCGGCTCAAAGAACTGTTGTTATCACTTTATCTTAAATTAAACAAAGAATTGCCAAGCAAAGGCAAATGCTACGTTACCACAAAGATGATGCACAATCCACTGTATATCTCATTCATGCATTGCTAGAAGAACCGTACAACCCAGTAGTATTGTTTAAACCTCTGGGTAAGGATATTGAAATTGGTCCTCCAAACCTTCACTGTTTACATTCTGAGAAGGAAGAACTTTTCATGGCCGGAATCCAAACAGCATCACAGAGAGAACTAATGGTGGAAGGAGCAAAGCATATTCTGATTGTTGATGACACACACAATGTGACTCAGTAGGACAACTACAAATTACTTACAGTTCACACATTGAATGTTAACAGAAGAGGAGCTGCTGTTGCACATTTCATTTCTAATAGTATGAAAGGTGAAGTTTTCAGGTATTTTGTGGAAGCATTGGGAGTGCGATGTGATGATTATGGTACTCCTCTCGTCATTAACTGTCTGATAACCGATGACGATGTTGCCTTGCATAATGGTTTTGAGCTGGGAATGAATGCTAAAATTGTGCATATTCTTTGTCTGTGGCATATAGACAGAACATTTCAGGACAACATCAGAGACAAAGTTGTGAAAAGTGAAAGAGAGTTTCTTTATGTTGATTTGAAAGTTCTAATCCTCTGAAAAAATAAGGATGAATTTTCTAAGCTTACTTCTGCGTTCTTTGAAGAAGTATGCCTCTTCTGCTAAAGATTTTGTGACTTATATTAACAAGTATTACTTCACCAGAAAGGAAAAGTGGACTATGGCGTATCGCACTGACCCGAATCATTTAAATATTAACACGATCTCGATTGCTGAGTCATTCCATAACCGACTGAAGAAGAAGAGATTCCCAAACAAGAGAATGGATGATCATATAAACCAGTTGCTTGACATGGAAAAGATGGATTACATTAGAAGAGAAAGAGAATTTATTTTGGGATACAGTGTCAGTCCTCAAGAAAATGTTGTAAGGCACACAAGAGGTATGTTGATTGAAGACAGCAATATTACTGAAAGAAATGTTACCATGTGGTTGTTCAGGTCATCCTCAAAGGAAGATAATTATTATCACATTCACCGTACAGCAGAGTTTTGTAGACTAGATAACTGTTTTGACAAATGTATCAACCCTTCCTGTCAGGGGTTGTGTTCACATCTATATTTCTGCATCTATATTTAGTCCCACTTTGTAAGCACATTCACAAACTCAACTCTTTTCTCATGAGAGGCCAGGTGTTGCCCTCTTATAATTGGAATGCTGACACCTCTGTCACGCTGGAAACAGCCCCTGAGCTGGTAGTTTGTGATGAAGGCGCAAGTCCTGATGCTGCTGCAGCCCAACTACAAAAACAGCTAGATCGCAAATATTTAGGCCTGGAAAGCGAAGTGATGAAATTCACCCAAAAAATAGATAATAAAAGCATTCCTTCTGTCCTTTTAGACATGTGTCTTGAGACTATTTCCAGTTTGAATCGAAATTGTGATGCTTTTTGCAATCAAAATGCAGGAGCTTGATATGCAGCCAGTTACAGATCTCTGCAGTGAGCTGATGCGTTTGTACAAATTAGAACATGGTGAATACACAACTAAACAATTTAACAAATTAACAAACACTTTGAAGCGTGTGACAAACGAGGATCAGGTGGCTAAGACATTGGCCTACCTAGCAGTAGCCATAACGTCCAAAGCTGGCAAGAAGAAAAAGGGTGACATAAGGTGTACCCCTAGGTCTGTAGCGAGTAGGAGAAAAGGCGAACCAAGAGGCTCAAAGCGTGTCGCTGCTGGTTGCCCCAAAAAAGCAGACCGCCAACCAAGAGGCTCAAAGGCTGGTTGCCCAAAAAAAGCAGACCGCCAACCAAGAGGCTCAAAGCGTGTTGCTGCTGGTGCCCCCAAAAGACAAACCCGCCCAAAAAAGAGAAAAGACAGCACTGCCTCTCTTAAAACATCAAAGTCAGTGTTACAACTGCCAAGTGTCACTAGACTGTCTCCTTTATTGTTTGAAATGTTTTAAAAATAGACTGTCTCCTTTATTTTAAATGTTTTAAAAATAGACTGTCTCCTTTATTTTAAATGTTTTTAAAATAGATGGAAATTTCATGAAATTTGCTCGTGTTGTGACTAAATTGTCTCCTTTGTTTGAACTGTAGACTGTCTCCTTATTTGTTTTAAATGTTTTTACCTTTGTTTTAAATGCTTTTAAAATAGATGGAGCTTTTGTGAAATTTGCTTGTGTCGTTTTCTTTTTACTCCAATAACAAAAGTCTTGTGATATATGAGGTGTGAAACAATTTGGTACAGCGTTTTCTTATTGTTCAAACGCTTTAGATGTTTGAATTTGCAAGCAGCGCGCGCCGTGGAACCACCTTTTCACGTTACGTGCCGGCCGACCAATGAGAACGCAGGATCGGCGTGGTACGGGAGGGGGGTGCTGTAACCAGTTAGGGAAACAAAATACGCCGCCTGCCCCCTCCCTATTTCATCTCGACAATTCAACCAGACCCCAAGGAAAAGTGTCCGTAATTCAAT